CCCTGGCGGGGAGCGCCGGGGCCGCTCGTCACGCCCGTGCGTGGGGCCCACCGTTCCCGCGTGGCTCCTTCTCGCCAGTGAGTACGAACAGGAGCTGGCTGTGACCCAGATACCTAAATTACAAACGCCCGAAGGTGGCCCTGCGGGCGCTGTCGGAGTGGTCCTCAGACTGCCAGTCATGGAGCCCGGGCTCCGCAGGTGGCCTGCGACAGAGCTTGTCTGCCCCTCCTGACAGGGAAAGCCTAGTATCTCAGCGAACCTCCCTTGCTACAACTCAAGCCAACTAATAACAACAGTTTTACAGTGTTTTCTTGTATTTAGCTGTGTAAGTTTCCTTACAGACACGTTGCAGGTACCCAGTGACATGACCGTTTCTGCCCGAGGTTTCCAGATGGCTGCGGATGCCTGACTGCGCTTGGATGTGGTCTCCGGCAAAATGCAGTGGCTTTTCTTCTTGCTGCCAACATCGAGTCACACTAGTTTAAACTAAATCAACATGAAATAGATGATAATTTTATTTTTTTCCATTAAAAGAACAAGGCTGTAGTATTGTTAACTTCAGGAAATCATGTCAGACTTTCCAAAATCAAATTATAATCTTACATTCCTACAGTACTTCTGAGTTAAAATTCTCATATTTTAACTTTACGGTGTACTAGGACTAAGCTTCAAGCTCTTCTTTATGAGACACTCATAAACTTGCTGCTTGTTGAAAGTTCAGATCCGCAATAATTTGCAGACTTCCAGGAGATGACATTTGTAGGAAGAATCATCATAAGTAATAAAAATGTAATAAAGATGATAAAAATGGGAGTCTTAAAAGGTAGTGTCTGTTTCAGTAGTACAAACTCGGATGTTATAGCACTGACTACGTGCAATACTAATTTGGGGACTTTTTTATTTTAGACATTGCTTTAAGACGAAGACATCATGGATAAATACGAAATCGTTAAAAAAATTGGAGAAGGATCTTTTGGCAAAATATTCTTGGCAAAAGGAAAAGTGGATAATGAGCAGTGTGTTATCAAAGAGATCAATTTCACTAAGGTAAAACCACAAAACCTGAATGGTAGCTGTTTACCTGCTTGCGCTAATTGCATTTAGCTAGGGTATGAACTGGGGTTATGTTTTATCTCTTTTGTAGTTCTGTCTCGATTATATAGACTTAAACTTTCCGAAGACTGTACTCTTTGCTAATTTAGTGATTTTACAAGCATAGACGAAATATGTATTTTGATATTGTGTTTACCTTTTACTGCATATTTGTTCTTTTCAAAACTTCTCTCTACGTACAATGTGTGACACTACCTAATTCAAATTTTATAATAGATGATTCAGCTACAATGAAACTGTTGCCACTGAGATACATTTCTCTAAACTTTTTCATTTCCTTTTTTTTTCCACATCCATATTTTCAGATGTGAGTAATTCACAACGGAGTCTTTCCAATTCTCATTTATGTTTATGGGAGTTTGATTCATCTCGTCTAATTTTAAATTTCCATTCTGTAGCTGTCAGCATCTGAGCTGCTTGGCTAGACTCCCTTTCTAGGAGAACAAGAGAAATACGTATTTTTAGGAAGCATTTGATCATGTGTGTTTTAGACTTCTGTTTTAGAATGAGCTGAATCGGGCCATAAAAGCGCTCTCTTTCGTTCTGTTGACTGCAGAGGCAGGTTCGGGTGACTAGCTCGGATATGAGAGGAATACCACCCCTATATCTAGTTCCAGCAAGACAGGCAATTAAAATCCCTGTGATTTCAATAGAGGGGTTTCAGCAGTCAATTTCAATGAGTGCCTATGTGCTTTTGACACATCCTTTGCTATTCTGGGCCACACTACTGAATTTCTAATATATTAGAGAATTGAATTAGAGAATGATTTTTTATACATCAGTTCTAGAAAGAGCTGTGTAACTTCCAGATTCAAACCTAGAAAAATTGATATGCTAGTAAAAACAGCTAAATAATAAAAAAAGTCTCTCTATGCTCATGACCAATAAAACCCATGCATTTCTAATCTTAGATTTTGATGTACGCAAAATAGAAAAATGGAAGTTAATAAAATATTATTGTGGATCCCACTCGTTCAAAAATTAGGAGCTGGATACAGAAAATTACTACTTTGAAGTCATAAGATTTTTTTATATGGTAGAGTGTGTTTCATTCACTTTCTGATTTTTGAATCTCTCAGGATTACATTGCAAAATTATTTCTTAAGAATGAAGGTAAGAAACTTTTTATAAATAAAAGACGACGTTTTGATGGATGGATAATCAGACATGAATTTTTAAGAAGTAATATTGATGAAAGTGTGATCACAATGAACCAAATAGAAGTTTTCCATTTAATGTAACAGGCCAAAGAGGTTCCCCGAAATGTTGCAAGAACTCATAACACCAGTAAAACGAAGGACTTTTTTCTTTTTACTTTATTCTTTCAAGATCACTCATATTAAGGATGCAGAATCATCTAGACCTTTACTCTTCCAATACTTAAGGGAAGTTTAACTTTAGAGTTTAACTCTATTCATCAGCTAGCTTAGCAATAGCGTTTGTGTAAACAGTTTAAAGGTATAAATCTGCCTGTTTGTAAAATGTCATAATGTGGTTTGACTTCAATAACATTCCAATATATTTCCAAGCATACACTGCAAATTGATGTTGTACATTATATGTACATCATATTTTATAACAGTTCTACATCACCTTGGTACACCGTCTTTTTGTTTTTGTGGGAATGGTTTGATAATGATGTAACTATTTTTAAAAAGAGCTAAATATATCGTTGCTAGCATGTAGTTTCTTAATTCTTTGTAGATGCCTGTGAAAGAAAAGGAAGCCTCTCAGAAAGAAGTCATTCTTCTGGCCAAGATGAAACATGCAAATATCGTAACCTTCTATGCTTCTTTGCAAGGTTTACTTTTAACATTTTTGTTTCATTTGTGATTATAGGAGTGGAAGGCAGCAAAACCTAGCTTGTTAATATTGCCCAACCTTAAGCCTGTCCCCAGCCCCTTACTTACCAGTGGGGACAGGTCCCAGCTGCTAAAAATGAACATGAGGTATCGAGTTCTGTCATCACTTGCCCTCTTCATGTGTGTGGTGGGACCTGAGGCACTGTGGCATGAATGCTAGATCCTGGGGTGCCTGCATTGCTTAAGTTGAACTTTAGTCTTTATCTTCAATAGGAGTCCAGAGTTTAATGAGGCTTTTCTAGGAGTTTCAATAGAATAAGAGAGCTTTTCAGTGTAGCAAGAAATAGGTCCTGTTGCCCTTTTGTCATGAGCCATATTTTGAGGTATCACTCAAGGATACAGAATTCTTCAGGACCGAAAGAGATAGAAGGAAGTCTGTTCTCCATGAAAGCTAATTCCCTATATTTATTTTTCCTACTGACATCCGTCATAAGCAATGCCTTATGTAATGAATGCTGTAGTTACAGCTTGTGTTCAAATTGCTGTCTGTGATCAGGACTGTAAATGTTTTAAGGGACATGTAAATCTGGTAGTCTTCTGGACCCCAGAGAGGTGAGAATAGGGTGAGTTTCTGTGTTAAGTAGCCCCTGCTGTTTATTTCTGCTTGTTTGGACACTGTCTACTTTTAACCTTTTCCCTAAGCCTAACTGTATACTTAGTTATTATTGGGGAAGAATCCCAACTATGAAGCATTCTGCTAAGCATTACCTCTAAGAACATCTGTCTTTCTATCAGTGTGGTCTCTTGAGGGTTTTCTCATGTATTTAATATTTTGGTGAATCTTCTTTTAAATATATTTTCATGTCTTAGTTTTGCATCACGTTTCACTGGAAGTATCCATTTTTTCCCTCAGTTACTCTTTGAAACAGAGGAGCAGGTAGAGGATTAACTACTACCTTTTGAAAGAAGGACCATATAAAATAAAAAGAATTTATTGCTGTATTAATGAATAGTAAAGGAATAAAGGAAAAATTATACTTTTCCTTTCAGAAAAGAACAAGCTATATATTGTGATGGAATACTGTGATGGTGGAGATTTAATGAAGCGGATAAATATGCAGCATGGAGTGCTGTTTGACGAGGACCAGGTGAAAGAAGTTATCTTTAGAGGAAAGGACATATTATGTAAAACAGATGGTTTGAATTATCTGGTACTAGCTACTGTTTCTTATCTGGCCTGTTAAAATAATGGAACGTTTTAAAGAAACTTTGGTAATTTTAATGGGAGTTTAGAGTTTGCTTTTTACACTGCTTTAAGATCTTAAATTAATTCCTTAGCAGTATTTTGATGCCATTTTTATTCCCCCCTCCCTCCCATTGCTCCTTCCATTGTGGATGCACTTTTTCTTTGTATTATTAGTATACCTCCTAAGCCATAAAGACTTTCTTTTAAATGGTGTTTTAGAATTATGGGGGGATATATTATAGACAAATTCTTCCTTTGTTTATGCTATTTGCATCATGGCATATCCTGCTTTATACCGAAGGCAATGGTAAATCTCTCATGCATTTCATTTGGGTCAAGACTTCTCTGATGCCATTTAAATTGTTAAACCAGCACAGAGAAACAAGCCCAGACATCTGACTGCTTTTGAACTGTGTTCACATTTATTTTGTAAATAGGTGAGTATGATAGGTATTACAATTCACAGAAACAGAATTTCCCACTATTCCTTACCTAGGCCTTAATTTTTTTACTAACTTTTAGCTTTCTGAAGGAAATTTTCTCTTATATATTGGACTGAGTGTACTGAACTGTGAGGTTATTTAATCATGCGTAGTCTTCCACTTTTGCAGGTACAATGAAAATTTACCTAGAAACTAGATAGATAGTATCCAACCTGTTAGTGGAAATATACTCTAAAGCATAAAAGTGGAAAAAAAGTATTGTGACTTTTCTTTTTGCTTTAGTAGTAAAAGATGAACTCCTTAGTGTAGAAGTCAGTTGGAAGTGAATTACTGGTTCAGTAATAATGAATTTTAAGATCCTATTGGGAGTCATACTAGTGGTAGAGAGAACATGAGAGAAAATAAAGAGATGACAAAACCACAGATCATGAAAACACAAGAGAACCAACACACACAACCCCCTTGACAACGAGACAGAGTAATACATATCTAAAGAAAGGCAAAGGAAGTACAGCTAGAAGAGTGGGTTATAGAAACTAAAGACACATCTGCCAATCACGAAAGGAAAGCAAACTGCCCAATTTAACATAATGTCATTAAAATATCTTCATGTTTTCAAATGTATGCCTAAGAAAGCCTCATTTGTGACATCAGCCCTATTCAGGAAATCATCTGCCTAATGTGAAGCATTACTAAATAGAAGATTATTACTTGAATGAAAGTCTTTCATGACTATCAATTTTCCTAAATAGAGAAGCATATAAGCACATTCTACTTTTGTTTCTGAATTAAGTCCAAAGGCCCTTATTCAATAAAACACATGTATATTTGAAGTTAAATGTATGTTTAAGAGCTGTACTGGGTTAAGGATAAAGGATAAACCTGTGTGCTTCCTTATTATGCAAGTTTCTTCATAGGTCCGTTCTTTCACCACATTTCAGTCCTTCATCCTTTGTTTCTGTTTTTTTCTGGACCACATTCAGTAAGACTACAAATATTATAACTGGGTGGTATGACTTTCACCACTGAGGATTAAGAAGACACTTCCCAATTCTGTCTTAGTTGTTATTTGAACTCATTCATTTCTAAATAAAGGTCTAATATTCTTAGCGTTTTTTGACGTGATTCTTCAGTCCTTGTTCAAGTACTCATCCTGTCACAGTCAGTGAAAACTTGATGGGGATGAGGAAAGTGGAGCAGGTACCTATTTCCATTTAGTTTTGTGATAGCACTAAAAAAGGAAAGGAAAAGTATATGGCATTAATTTAAAAAATATTATTTCTTACTATTTTATATTGTACATGGTCTACATATTTAAAATTTTTTTATTGTCTTTATTTTATATATTTCAGTAAGATGCCCCATTGGACATAAGTCACACAAATTTATAGATATCTGTTCCCTTTAACTTTCACTGCAGATTCTGAGTTGGTTTGTGCAGATCTCCTTGGGCTTGAAGCATATTCATGACAAGAAGATTTTACACAGAGATGTAAAAGCACAGGTAGTAAAACTGGTACTGGAGAGGGGGTGATTTTGTCTTGTAAAAATATGCTTAAGAAGCACTGCCATGTTTCATTTTCGCATACCAATTTTGTTTTTATTTGCAGAACATTTTTCTTAGCAATAATGGAAAGGTAGCAAAGCTTGGGGACTTTGGTGTAGCAAGACAGTTGGACAGGTAAGCAACTTTTTTAATTAGTCCATGACCTACACCAAATAGCTGTTTCTGAATGTTCAGAATGCAACCTGAATGTGCAAATTGTTTGTGGATTCTGCTTGTTCAAGAGGTCTGGGATACAAAGGGTCTGACACTACGTTTTTTTCTGTTATCCTAAAACATGCCATATTCCATGGAACCACAGATGTATCTAGCCTAGTAACTGAACTTCTGTTATGTATGGGACGTAGGGTGGGGAAACCCCAGTCTTTCTCTGTCCTCTGTGGAACTGACATAAAGAGACTCTGGAGGCACAGCTCCTGCTCTTGCAGGTGTTGATAATCACTTCTGGTCCCTCATAAAAAAGAAAGTGAGGAACATTAAAAACTTAGTGAAGAGCCTTAAAAAATTAGAAAAAGAGTATAAGAAAAGATTTTTTACAGATTTTCTTTGTATGTCCTCCAAGACTCTGCCTATATTAATTTTTAAAAAAGGGCCAGAACCCACTCTCGGGGCCTGAGAATAAATGACATGGCATGGCTTGCATTCGTACGGCTAAGCTGTGTTCTCTCAAAGAGGGTGGCCTTATCTTTACTGACTTTGGGGACCAGGTTGGCCTATCCTGCGTAGTGGCCAGGTGTTGTCTAGGAGAGTGCTTTTTGGTGTGGCCAAAACATTCCAGGGGGCATGGTAGCAACAGAACAATGCTTGAATTTGGTCTCTTTTTGAGCCGCTTGATTATCTTTGACCTTGGCAGGATATTGTGGCAAAGAAGGTCCACAATTTAATTAGGTAATGTGTGGAAAGGTAATTCCTCTGTTGATAATTTTGCAGATTGTCCCTCTAATATCAGTCCTTCTCAGTTGCTTTGTACTCCACCTGCTGCAACTCGCTTGTTAAAACTTTTCCTATCCCTAAATTAAGTCAGCGTAAGTTTAACCACATTTCTGTCTACACAGCATCAGTAAAGAGAACAGATAGCTTTAACCAAAATAGACATTTTGCTCATTCTCTTCAGTTGTACTTAACTGTGTAGATGTATTAGGTACCTTTATGCATTCTTCACATGGACATACGGCCCATGTCATTTCTGTCAAGGCCCCATCAGGGTGGCTTTGGATGTAGGCCTACATAACCTTGCCAGTTCAGTGGTGCATCAAAGTTAGGAAGTCTTGCTGAGAGTTGGAGTATATTGGATCAGCATGTTTGGATAGTACCTTGATCCAGGCCTGCTCTTCTCCAGGGATATGCCATGTCGCTGTTCTAGGTGCAGTCTCTGCCAGCTCTCGTACCTCTGTGGTGTGTTCCTTTGTGAAGCATAGACCTACTGTCAGTGCCTCAGCTCTCCACACGTAAACTACTTATGCAGAAAGTGCCTACCTTCAGAAGTGTTCTGGGGATAAGTGCTTTAAGGATTGCTCCTACACAGCAGAAAATAGGAAGTAAACCTCAGAATTCGAATGTCCAAGTACAGACTTTTAAAGAGTATTTAATAGGCTTTTACAACAAAATAATTGGAGCTTGATAGTACTTTTCTTCATATAACAAGTGAATTAAGTTTCTCAGGCTCTCTTTTCCCCCTCTCCTGGGGTATACAAAGGCATTTTCATCTCCATTCTCCAAAATGTAAGATAGTGTCCAATATTTTTACTTGCGGTTAGGTGTCTGTGGCACCTCTGGCACTCATACTTCATATATTCTATAAAGAGTGTGTCCTGGTTTCAGCTGGGATAGAGTTAATTTTCCTCCTAGTAGCTGGTATAGTGCTGTGTGTTGGATTTAGCATGAGAATAATGTTGATAACACACCGATATTTTAGTCGTTACTAAGCAGTGCTTATGCTAAGTCAAGGAATTTTCGGCTTCCCGTGTTCTGCCAGGTGCACAAGAAGCTGGGAGGGAGCACAGCCAGGACGGCTGACCCAAACCGGCCAAAGGGCCATTCCATACCATGTAACATTATGTTCAGCATATAAACCGGAGGGAGTTGGCCGGGGGGCGGCGATCGCTGCTTGGGGACTGACTGGGCATCAGTCGGCGGGTGGTGAGCGGTTGCATCACTATTTTTTCCTGGGTTTTGTTTCTCTCTCTCTTTTTTATTGTTTTCCTTTTCATTACTACTACTATGATTATGTTTTATTTTATTTCAATGATTAAACTGTGCTTATCTCAACCCACAAGTTTTCTTACTTTTGCCCTTCCGATTCTCTTCCCCATCCCACTGGAGGTGGGAGAAGGGTGAGCGAGTGGCTGTGTGGTGCTTGGTTGCCGACTGGTGTTAAACCACAACAGAGTGTAACTTAAACTTTATTGACATCTAGTATAGAGTGAGAGGAATCACAGTCTGTGAGTACCCGTTTCTCTCTACTGACTTCCCAGTGACTCTTGATGACATCCACAGAGTAGATACCTAAAAGCAAGTGAAATGAATCCAGCTGGTGCTATTTGGCTACACTTTCACAAGTCAGCACCAAAGATGGAACTAGAATTCATTTACTCCTCCTTTAATTTCTGGACAGCACTTCCTCCTTCCACTGTTTCTGGCTTGCGTGACTGACTACCACCTCCCATATTGTTACTTCAATAAGTATGTTGGAGACTTCTAATATTTTGCAGTGTCTTTGACAGCTTTCAGAATTCTGTGTTAATGATAAACATTCCTTGAAAATGTTGATTACAATAGTGGTAGAAAGTGGGGAAAAGAGAATTCTTGTGCTTCCTGTTGAAGTGTAAACACTCTCCACTATTAAAATAGTTGGTCATTTTTACACAGAACTGGGAAATACTTCATTTTTCTTGGCGTGTTCCATTAGTCACCTATTTGGAGAGCAGAAATAATGTCCCCCATGGCCTTTTCACCTGGGGCAGAGTAGCGTCTAGTTCAATTGCTTATAAACTTTTTCAGTGTGTAAGCCTTTTTGTTCATTGTGTTTCATTAGCACTATGGAGTTTGCCCATACCTGTGTAGGGACCCCCTATTATCTGTCACCTGAGATCTGTGAAAATCGACCATATAACAATAAAACGTAAGTCTCTGTCTTTCCTTCATATGCTTGTGCATGAGGGCATGCAGGCACGAGAGAACTTATTTTAGTAATATCATGGTTTAAATCAGTATTTCTGCAAGGCACCAGAAATTTCACGTGTCACCCTTTGTGAAGTTTTATATTATTGTGTACAATAATTAGGTGCATCAATCATATACAACAACTATGTTACACTATGCAACACTGTCAGTTGTATTTTGACTCACAGTGTCCAGAGTATAGCAGTCATGAATTTGTTGTGATTCATCTACAGGCTTAACATAATTATATTTTTTGTTTTTATAAAATAACTTGTACTTTAAACTTAAAGTTCAATCTCATTCTCTTTTAATACTCCTTGTTAGTAGTGGCATGAAATGTAAAATAGATTTTTTTTTCCTTTGCTTTATTGGCTTCTCCATCATATACTAAATTTCTCTCTGTGTTTCCAACATGTAATAACCAATGCAAGTATGGATCTTTTCAGTTCCACGTTCATGAATTTTTGATACACTCATTTGTGATTTATAAAAATACACTAAAATGAAAGCTGCTAGGTTGGCAATTCTGGAACTTTGCAGTAGCCACCTGCAGGAAAGACAAATAGGTCTGAGAATTGTAAAGGCTCACTTGGGCTTAACACAAAATACCAAAATAACAAGTTGAGAAGCACAGAAAAGTCAGGAGCTGAATGAGCTTGACCCCATTTTTTGTGTGTGGGATGTGGTCAACACCAAATATCCTGAAGCCCAGACTAGCATCTCAGCTCTAAGGTGCTATTCACACAAGTTTACTCCCTTATTGTCTCCTTACTTATCAAGTCAGCCAGAGATAGCTTTGCCCTTCATCCTGCTAGGAATATTAAGGAGGCATTCCTTATGTCATGTGCCTTTTCCAATGATAATTGTAGTACCTCGTTAGGTATCATAGAAACATTGGTACCACAACTAGAAAGAAATGTTATGTTGTTCTTTTCAGTGCATCTTAAGAAAAATTGAAAGTTCACCAATATTAATATGTGATGGAATAATGTTAATAAATTTGAGAGCTGAGAATAGGTGTTGATGACGTGTATGAAGATATCATAGTCTTTTCCCTGAAACTTTAATTACTTTTTATTCACAGAGATATTTGGTCTCTTGGCTGTGTGCTTTATGAGCTATGTGCACTAAAGCATCCTGTAAGTACCATAGAATCAGATCAATATCATATTATTAAAACAGATAGCGGGCAGCCTGCAAAAACTGTAGTAATAATAGTATTCATAGGCAGCTGCTGGAATTATTTTCGATTTACCTACTGATATTAAAGAATGACTGACAGTGTTTAATTTTTGTGTTGTATCTGCTTTGTACATACTAAAATACAATGTATTATGTTGTATTTCTACAATTTATATATATGTACACACACACATCAAACATGCATTTACTCTTTAAAAAGTACAAAACTTTTTCAAAAGGCAGATGAACAATTTAAAGAATTAAAGCCAAACTTCAAGGTTAGGCTTTAGGCGTATAATTTTACTCATTGCTATTTGAAAACACCAACCTATACTTACTAAAGAGTTTGAAACCCACGTTTTCTTAGCAAGCAGTTTGAGTCCCCAGAAGCATTTTCCTAAAGGTTTCATTTTGTTTGGAAGCACATTCGTGCCAGAAGATAACTGAGATAGATAGCATCTTCAGGAAGCTGTGTTGTTCTCAGCCTGGTCTGAGCCTCAGTTAATCCTCAGCCTGTGAGTATTACGTGGAGAAGAGAACACAGCAGAGACTAATCCCGACAACAGGAAACAGATCAGATTCCTGGGCCCAGTAGAAGTTGACCTTTTGCTGGGCTTGGATGCAGAAGAAGGCAGAGCAACGCTGATAGGGAGAGCAATTGTGCTGAGCTGAGACCAAGGGGATACCACTGAGGAAAATTCCAGATTTCACAAAGTGAGAAAGCATTAACATTACTACTTATGAATATTAGCTGTTTTATTCTGTATTGCTGCCCATTTTTTAATTTGAAGGCAGGGACTAGGTGCTGATGTAGACAGGAAATGCAAATGAAGTTAACGCAAATTTTGTTTACAACACCTTCAAAATAAGTAGGTAAATAAAGTGGTAATTTTAGAAAGAAGTTGCTTTCAAAATTAGTTTTGCCTGCCTAAGGCCCTAAAGATGGTATTGGTGCTGACCTGTTAAGAGATCTGCTGAACTGAGAGGGCTGAGTCATCTGCGTGGCATCAGTTGTTAAAAATCAGATTATACCTTGGTTCCTGAGAGAACACAGCAGGCAGAGGCTAAGTTGTATGGAGTGAGGTTTTGAAGGTGAACGCTGTGAAGATACTATGTATGCAGGTCTCTGTTCAACAGCGTTTGGCAAAATAAATCGTGTTTCATTCTGGAAAAATTGCTACTGTATGGCAGCAGAGTATGAATAAAACTCTTCCAGGTACAAAAGCTATTGGACCTGCTGAGTTGTGCAACTGAAACAATTAGAATGTAACCAGAAAATACAATCAGAGATTGGTGATATTAATTTTCCACAGCAAACTATGGATAGCGAGGAACCATTTGTGAAGAGATTGCATAGCACAGGGCTTTTGTCAGCAAGTACCTTTTTTTTCCACGTTGAGGTGTCTAGTCCATAATTTTCAAGCAGCAGTACTTACTGTCCTCTTTTTACTGTTTTCATTGATGAAGTTTGAAGGCAATAGTTTGCACCAGCTGGTGCTGAAGATCTGCAGAGGACATTTTCACCCAGTGTCTCCCAACTATTCATATGACCTGAGGATATTAATTTCTCAGTTGTTTAAAAAATCTCCAAAAGATCGACCATCTATCAACTCTATTCTAAGGAAGCCCTTCTTGCAGAAGCTCGTTCTCAGGTATTTGCCCCCTGAGGTAAGTGCCTTGTACTGCTGCGCTGAGAGAAAAATATGTATCAAAGTAGTATAAACGGTTCTATCAGATACCTTTTTTTCTTGTAGATAACACAGGAAGAACTCAGTCACACTGTGATACATAGAAAAAGGCCTTCAGCAGCACAGCCTGGAGCCGAGCTGATGCAAGGTAATGATAATAATATATTTCACATTAGTTCTGTGCTAACATTTGTTAGTTATGATACATGTGATGGCTGTAACTTTCTCCAGCAGTCTTTATTGCACATTTGGATACAAGACTTTTACACAAATTTAAAAATAAAAAGAGGAGAGAACTGCAACAGCAGAAACATCCACCCCAGACAGTGCATCGCTGTCCTGTTCACGAAAAGACAACTTTAAGACCAGCTCATTAGCAACATTCAGCTAGAAAAGCTGCCATAGAAAAGTGCTGAAACATTAATCTTAATTCTTTTAAGAACAATTTACAAAACTGAGAGGCTTTGGTCTAGATGTGATTTAGGTCCACCACATGAAAAACATCCTTACTTCATTTTGCCAAGCTATGTGCAAAAATGCAAAAGTCTTGCAAAATGTGCTCTGTGGTATTTTACAAAATAGTAAAAATGTGTTTTACAAAATATTATAAATTAGATCAATTCTGAGAGACAAGGAACTCTATTTGCATTTACTGCTCATTGATAGATCAGATCGTGTATGCACATTCTTAGAAAACATGAATGAGACTAAATGGTATCTCTGTATGAACTGCTGAACACCTGGCATGTTTCTGGCAGCATAACCTTTTCCTCATTCTATATTCTTCAGTATATCATAATTATTCCACAGATTAATCTTTGAAAGTATTAAAGTAGTTTAAACAGATTTGTGAAAATAAACCTTTGTAGTTACTTAACTACACTATGGACTTCTTTTTTTTTTCCCCAAAAAAGTTCTTCAATAGTGTAGGAACCCATGTTATTTTGGAAATGACTTTGAATGAGATTTGTGTGTCTTCAGGTCTAATGCAATTTTGATAGAGGCACCTGAACACCTAAGTCACTTAGGCATTTTAAAAAATATCTGTGGTCATATACTCATAATTTTCATATATTTTATCTCCCAGACATGATACTCTCATGATCATTACTCAGGAAAAATTTAAAACTCACTTAGAAGCTACTTAATCCTAGCAAAGATACTACTTTTCAGTATTGCAGCTAAGGTATTTGCAAAATACTGACTGACCAAACCGGAATGGTATGTACTTTTATTTTTTTCCTACATGGGGAACTGATAAGGCAGATTTTTCACTTTTCAGCCTTTCTTTCCGAATTTCACAAATACTACAAGATTGTCTAGCGATTTGTAGAATACTGAGGGCTAAGTTTAGAAAGGGAATGCCTAATCGGGTAGACACCTAGCCTCCAATGAAATCTGAGCCTAAGAATCAGACCTCCTATTTTCTGGTTTTGGTACTAGCATCAGATCAGCATTCTAGTTTATAGGGGTCTCCCTTTTATTCAGTGTGCTTCTTTGCAAAACTAATCAATAAGATACACTTTACATGAGTGTGACAAATCATAATATTTTCAAAAGCATGTCATTGTAAAAAGCAAAGGCAGAATGCCTAGGAAGTGAGAAATATGGTGATGATGGTGATGGTGATGAAAGGATGTAAGCAGTGTTTGTGAGCCCAGCCTCTCAGTGTTAGGTGCAAGCACCCTACTATGGTTTGCAACTAAATGATCATTAATCATGTAGAGAGCACAGAAGGTAACCTTTTAATCTTTTGTCATTAAAAAGCACATAAACTTCAAAAAAGGAGAGTCCAGGACCAAGTTTCTCCGGAATCTGGAATGGTGGTGCCTGTCAAGAAACAGGAATTATTTCAAAGAAATGATTGGAAGCCTCCTTCAAGAGGGCAACAGTCTATTTTTCAGGTACCGTGCATCCACATTCTCATAATATTTAATCATCTTCAGAAGGCAAATTGCTGCTCTTAGAAAAGTCCCTTTAAAAGGAAGAAGCGCTCAAGCTATAAGAAGCGCTCAAGTCCCTTAATCACCATTGTAGCCTTTTGCTGGACTCTCTCCGGTATGTCTGTGTCTCTTTTGTACTGGGGAGTGCAGAAATGGACACAGCACTCCAGGTGTGGCTTCACCAGTGCTGAGCAGAGGGGAAGGATCGCCTCCCTCGACATGCTGGCAATACTTTGTCTAATGCAGCCCAGGATACCATTCGCCTTCTTTGCAGCAAGGGCCCATTGCTGGCTCATGGTCAACTTGGTGTCCACTGGGACCCCCAGGTCCTTTTCTGCCAAGCTGCTTTCCAGCTGGACAGCCCTCAGCATGTACTGGTGCACAGTGCAGGACTTTGCACTTCCCCTTGTTGAACTCCATGAAGTTCCTGTGAGCCCATTTCTCCAGCCTGTTGTGGTCCCTCTGGATGGCAGCACAACCTTCTGGTGTATCAGCCACTCCTCCCAGTTTTGTCACCATAGAAGCTTATCAAGTTGATCAAGCATGACTGACTTACCCGTGGTGAATCCATGCTGACTACTCCTGATGATTTTCTTGTCCTTCATGTGCCTGGAGATGGTTTCCAGAATTAGTTGTTCCATCACCTTGGTAGGCATTAAGTGAGGCGGACCAGCCTGTAGTTCCCTGGGTTCTTCCTGCCCTTTTTGAAGATATAAGTGACGTTTGCTTTCCTTCAGTCCTCGGGTGCTTCTCCTAATCACTGCTGTGATCATTCAAAGATAATAGAGAATGGCTTTGCAATGACATCTGCCAGCTCCCTGAGTATTCGTGGGTGCATCCCATCAGGGCCCATGGACTTACGTTTGTCCAGTTTGCTTACGTATTCTCTAACCTGATTCTTTTCCACCAAGGGCATGTCTTCCTTGCTGCACACTCTTCCCCTAGTCGCAGGGGCTGGGATTCCTGAAGGCTGGTCTTGCTAGTAAAGACTGAGGTGAAGAAGGCATTCAATACCTCAGCCTCTTCATGGCCTGTGTCAGCAGGGCACCTGCTTCACTGGTCACAGTTCTCTATCCTCTTACATTTATTTGTTCTCCTTGTTGCTTGGAATTGCCATGCTTCTGGATACCATACTGTAAAACTTATTTCAGTGAGGGACAAGATTTTGAGGTTAACTCTTCCTTGGGAACATTATTGTCAGTGGAAATTTTTTTTCTTATATAGATATGAATTTGTATTCTACTGTAATCTGGATTATACTGTAGGTAGATGAGCCTATTTTCAGGGTTTCTAAGAAGGCAAGTAGGGAAGAATAGTTAATGTATTTACCATCTAAGGAAGGGATACTTAGATGCTTTTTAATTTATGTAAGGAAATAAGCCAAATTCAGCATGTTTCTTATACACCATATAGTGGTTTTTAGTCTCCCACCGTGGAAAAGTTTGTGAATGTCTTACCACGCTTCTTTTATATCATGCAGTGGCAGCTAGACAATCGCCTTCTTTCCATTGCTTTTATAAGAAATAGAAAAGACAGTCTTGTCACAAAGCAGAAATACAGGGATGTTTCATCACAGTAAGGACTTTGAGAAAAGAAAGGCAAGCTCCCACAGGCACATAATCAAAGAGATGGTGACATGAAGTAGCACAGTGCTCCCCTGAAAGCAGCAGTCAATGCGTATACTGCCCAAAACTACATCCCAGATTCCCCTTGCTCTCACATGTCAAAATAAGATTCTCCTGGAATTAATTCAGTGCTTTAGGCTTCAGAACAATGAGGTGGCTCTCGGGCAACGACACTACAGGGTACAAAGCTCCACGCTGGTTGACTTGCACAACAATATGGGCTGCTGCTTAATGACAGGAGCTGATGGAACAGGGGAAAAGGAAAAGGCAATGGTAATATTACATATGCCATGAGAAGTTAGGAAGTTTCTGGGTTGTATGTGAAAGGGTTTGGAAAACTTACTTACACTAACTATACTGTAGACAGCCTATATTACCATGCAACTCAGATTGGGGAGGACAGGAAATTAATTCAAACTTGTACTGATACAAATGAGAACAGGTAAATTAACATCCTTTATTGTATTTTCAGCCACAGAGCTCCAGATTTATGATGGCAGAAAGGCCAGAAAGTATTAGAGTACATGGCCATTATGGTCATTACTATGATAAGCTTGACAACTTGCAGAGGAAAGCTAATGCATATTATGACCTTTCTCATATCAGCCAAAGAGTTGAGGAATACTATAAACTAAAAGGAGAAGTTGCACCTCCACCCCCGCCACCCGACTGGTAAACTTTTCTCACTCTATTTATTAGTAGTGAATCGTCATGCATGTTTTGAGTTATCAGCCTTCCTCATTAGGTAGCACTAGACATGGCTCATTCAGTAGAATTCATTCTGTGCTTGGTCTTTGATAATTTTTTAACGTAAGTTTATCACACAACAACATAACCCCTGTTCCTGTCTATCCAGAACTTCCTTCTGAATGTATTGTCCTGATGTTTGACATTTCATTGTCAAAATGTCTCCCAAATCTCAGCCTTTTATTGGGTGAGAAGTAAAACACATTTTTTTTGTAGACTTTCTGATTGTATCAAGGATAAACACTGTCTTTCCTTCCCACCAAGATCAGAATGATATAAAGACCAAAAGCATTTCTCCACTTGAGGGAACAGAGTGGGAGGCAGGCCATGAAAATGTTTTTTTTTTCCTGCAGAGCTTATATTTTGGTTTCAGATATAAAGATCCTTTCTCCAGCAGTTTATTTACTTCAAAGCCTTTCTCTTACAAAGCAGAGGTACAACCTTTTTATCACTTTGGAGTTTGCCTGTCCATTCCATGATTGGCCATTTTAGGTGTGGATGAGCTTTAAAAATCTTGAGAAAGGAAGGTAAGGAATTTTTAATACTGCCTACTTTTGGATCCTTCCTTTAAGGTTTACTGAATCATTAATTTTCATTCAATGACAACAGTGTTTAGAATGTTTCAGTTAAGGATCATCAGCTTTAGAACATCTTGTCTGAGCTGAGTTTCTAGTGCCTTATTTAAGGACAAAGTCAATTCAGTCTGGCTCTCTGGGGCACAAGTGGATTCTGAAGGTAGAAAATGAAATAAATAGAAATCAGGGAGCTTACAAGTGACTGCTGGTTATTTTATACCAAAACAAGAGGTAAGTGTTTAGAAACCACAGCATTACATAAATACAAAGTTAGGCTTATAGAATTAGGCACAGAGGAGAAAGGAAATAGAAAAGTTGTTGAATATACAACCTCCATTCTGACAATTTTCACTCGAGGATCAGGAAAACCAACTTTATTTTCATTAACCTTTCACATACCATCTATCAAATAAACGGTGGAGAAGGACTTTGTTGCACTCTTCAGAAGGCTAATGTAACTGAAGTAATAGGAAGGGGAATGCCTGAAGTGGATATGTTTGTTTGGGGTTTTTTTGTTATTTTACTGTTGTTCCATATTTATAGATATTTTATTCATATTTATATATTCATGTAGTAAAAAGAGAGCTCTGTTTGTCATATGTGATAGAACCTATAGAGAATTATTTGTGCAAAAGATAGCAGGTCTGTGAAATAAAATGTAGTATATGAACATCACTTTCTTCTCTCAGGCCTGCAGAGTATGTTCAAAGGCGTTTTGAAGCCCAACAGTACAAGATTAAAGTGGAAAAACAGCTGGTAAGTAAATACTGAATCATAGAATAAAATCTGTAAAAGAAACTGAATGAAAATCCAGAAGATGAACTGATGTCTTTCTAACAGCAAACTGTGACACTGACAGGTAGAAAGTTCTGATCTAGCGAATTCATTGATCTGCTTCGCAGTGTTCATTGTGAGGTTTTATTTTCTAATACAAAACTGTAGCAATGTAAAATTCTACTATAACTTTTTCCTCCAAAAATATACACTTGCCTTACGGCACTTTTCAGTGGAACAGGGAGAGTGAATTGGATGAGCACTGAAGGAAAGGATTCTAAATGAAAATTCCTTTGCTCTGGGATTTATTTGTACACCCATAGGGACTGCGACCATCCTCTGCTGACCCAAATCATGACCAGATACAACAGCAGAAAATAAAGGAAGGGCATGTCAAAAACCGTCAGCAGGACGTGTCTAGAAAGAATGAAATGAAAGAACAGGTAACTGAAATATCTTCCTTAGCTGCTTAAAGCTGTCTTCTTACACTCCTTGACAGTAGTACTCTTTACATAAGAATTAATTCTTTACCATCTGACCACTAGTAAAATACAAGCTCTTTTCATCTGGTTCCATCTTACATAAACTGCACAAAAGCTGATGTCCATAATAATTTCATAAACCATGGCCTTGATTTTGATTTCACTTCTGTTGAGATTAGAGGAGTTACATCGCTGAAGAAACCAATGTTGGAGGACGATAGATCCTCACATTTACAAATCAGAGAAAATAGTCATACATGCGTTATTTGCGTATGTGTATTCATTGTTCATAAATCATACTATGACATTTAGAGTGTGGTATAATAGTACGTGATGCATACTACTTCCCTGGTATGTTATAAATTTTGGAGATTATTTGATACAGAAGCAATATACTTTTCTGGTTTTGCTTTTGGGTGACAGAGAAAACAAACTGATACTTTTCTTACATGAGGGGAGTCAATCCTTAGGTTATTTTTGGAATTAGCTGTTGTAGATACAATTCTGTGGAAAATCTAGCATGAAACAGTCTAGAAAACTTCAAAAAGGTTAAAGTCTGGAAGACTTTATGCAAGGTTTCCTATTTTTCTTTTTGCCAGATAAGCCAGAATTATAATGTCTTTTAGTATTAAAGTCTAAATAAGGCAATGAATGGAATATTCTTACAGATATATATACAAGGAAATCAGTGACTACATTTACTACTTAAACAAGTCTTTTTTTACAGGGTATACACATATTCTGGTTCCAAAGAGTGGATTTTAAGTTGGGGTTTTTTCCTCCTTCCAGGACATGGAAGAAAACTTTAAACAAGTCAGACTCCAGGATAGGCAAGACCAAAATATCTTAGAAAAGAAACATAACACAAAGGTATCCATCCTTATTGTTGTATTTTTTCCATTTGCTTCTTATATCTGTACATTTCAAATGATTGTATTACCATGGTAGCTCTGGAAACCACATTATTTGAGAGTCAATTAAGAGTGCTGGTCTACTCTTTGTTAAAAGTTTATATGAGAAGATGGAATCGCTAAGAAAATAAATGTATAGCAGAGCTTTTCTGATCATTTGAGAGAGACTCCCTTTAGATATTCCCAGATAGATAGTAATCAATCCCTACCTACTCATCTTTATATCAAACTGCATTAGCAGTGTACGGAAACTCATGTTTACTCAAAGTTTAAGTGAAGTCAAGTCAGGCTGCTAATTTCTTAACATTTTGTTATAAAACATTATTCTCTATAATGCTTTTTAAATTGTAGAAGGGGATGGGAATTGAACGGAAATGCACATAAGGTATCAGGAAGGTTTCTGACCATAAGATCGTTGTGAAGTGTATTAAAGGTCTTTTGTGAAATATTGCACAGAAGCAGTTGAGTATTCAAATTTTAATACTGGTTGAAAACCAGCTGTAAGAACCAACTCTGTGTATTGCAAGGATTTGAATTAAATGATTATCAGAGACACTTTTCCTTAAAATCAAAAGTGGATGCAATAATTTGAAAATATCCATAAACTACACTTACGGAAGTCTGGTTTTGTCCAATTTGTTCAACTATGATCCATTAAATAGAAGAAAAATATTGTTAAATAAAAGTTATTTTCAATAGAAGAATTTTTTTGAAGTTTGTAGTTCCATATAAACTGAGTACATTTAATTAAATGTTTTTATTTAATAAAATAAATTAATTGTGTGAATTTTCTTTAGGGAGGAGTGAAGTTTGAAATTAATTTAGATGTATGTGTTCCTGAGGAAGACAGCATTCAAGAAGCAGAGGTATGTTGTAGTTACATTGAAAGCATTTACATTAGTAATCTGACACCATGACAGTAGCTCCATGATCTCAGGTTTAATTATTTCAACTACCATCATGCTCTACCTTCATTATAATGAAGCTTCCTATTGAGGATTTGTTGACATATTGCATATATCTGACCTTCTTCAAGTGGATAATTGCTTAGAAGAAAATTGGATGATATCTGGGTCAATCTTTCACATGGTAGAAGATGAAGGAATGCAGATATTTAAATTTTGTAAATTGGCCTGAGGGGAAGAACTCATCTCAAAACCGAGTTAGTCTGCAAATGCCGAATTTGATTTGTAAATTGTTTCAGTACATTCCTGTTTCTTTTCACTAGCGCTGTATCACAAAGCAAGAATAATATTGGGATGAACTAGCTGTTACTTAGAAAAGGTGGAAGTGAGACTACAGACAACATTATGTGATTTCATTTATTAAAATGACATTTCTAGCTGATCAACATGTAATAGCTACCTATTAAGATTTTTATTAGTATGTTAGAATTTTAAAATATTTGTAACAGCAACATCAAAAATATAATTTCTTTCTAGTATATATATTCTTAATTTATAAAGCACTGTTTTGTCATTCTGTTGTTTTACGTCTCTGCAGAGCCCCATGCAGCCCTCTGATTGATACACAAATTGCAATGTGACTTTTGAGTTCTGCTGCTTCACTTTTTGTTACACAATTTGCCTGTGCATACATGAGAATGGCTGGCCAACACAGTAAAATGAGAAGTGATTAGTTATTGTCCCATAATTGTTTTCTCTTTCCAGAGTAAACTGTTGTTTTTTCAGGTACTAGATAAACTCAATGAGACTTTGACTTTCGTGGATGGTGAGAATCTTAAGGAGAAATTGGTGGAAGTTTATGAAGATCATATGGACAGAGCTTCGGAAGAACTATCTGGACACCAAACAGGTATTTCTTGGGGAAATGCAACGCTGAGTGTTAATCCTGAAAACTACTTAGGAGTTAGGTAAATTCAGTAACTCCAGGCTATAGCAAGTTTATCTGATGAGCTCTCTCTTTATAATATCACATAATATTATAATCACACTGAAATCTACTTTAAAAAATGAAACAACCTTACCTCCTCTTTTTCTTCCCCTTAGAGTCCAATGATATTGGTGATACCAAAGAAGACAGAAAACATTGGCAACCTGGAGCCCCTCAGACACTACTGAATTTTTTAGCTGATGCTGATATCACTTCTGTATGTCCTACTATGGCTGAAAATGAACTTGGTAAAAAAGTTTTGGTTTTCGGTGAGTGAAAGTAGAGAGCTGCTAAAATTCAGCCAGACTACTTACAGACCTTTGCCAAAACAATTCCATACCAGAGTATTCACATGATCTGGCAGGCTTTTAATTGCAGGACTTCATAATACCTGAGGTCATTGTATGTGTTAAACCATAGAACGCAGTCATCATTTTCCCCTCTGCCTAATATTGCAATCATGTTGTCCTGCTCATATGTATTGAGGGCTGCATTTTATGAATCACTCTGTGGCCTGGGTAACAAGGGCTAAAAATGACAGTCTGTGCAGCTAATCAACACCACTTCCTTGGGCCTTGAGTTGATGAAACACAAGAACTGAGGCAGTCAGTTGCCAACACCATCCCAGAGTGTGGTGGAGTTCTGGTTTCCCACTCCACACACCGGTGTTGCTACACAGTCACAAGTGCATCCTCGCACAGCTGCGGCTGTGGCGATGCTCCTTTTCAGAAGCAGCTAACTGCTGTGTTTCTTACAGCACCAGTGCATATATTCCCAGGCAGCCAGGTATCTCCAGTGCCTGGCTGCTGCAAATGAGGGGCTCTTCCAGCATTCCAGCATGCTCCCAAGCATGTTACACAGAAACAACCTGAAGAGTTTGCACGGACAGTGAAGACAAAGCAGAATATTGTTAATATGCCACTTCTTGTTCATTCTGCCTTAGATGAAAGAGCATAGGGCACAAGAGAAACAGGAACTTCTTTGAAGCTTTTCCAGCCCCAAGAAGCCAACAAGTTTGAGACCAAGGACTGCTCAATGAAGCTGCACCTGTCTATTGCAGGCCTAATAAGCAGTTACTTGAGCTTTTACTTTATTAAAAATGGTGTTAAAAATTTTTAGTGACAATAGGCCAAACTATTTTTTTATCTATGGCATTAGTCAGACCAAATACTTATTAAAAATTCAGTATTCCACAAGGGAAAAAAAACCAAACAGGATTCCAGTGTTACCCAAAACGAAGAAATAAGTGTCAAGCCTAGAAAGTCTGAATCTGACAAAAGAGAGTGCCAAGCCACAGTCATGCTTTTGTGACCTGAGAACCTTCCTGTTCTTCAGCTGACCATGCTATTCTGCCTGAAGACATCCCAGAAAACAGGAAGCAGTGGAAACAAACACCACCAGGGACACTGCTTGACATCTTAGCAAAAGCAGAGCTATCTAAGGACTCCTTCATCCGACTTGACGAGGAAGTAGGTAGGTGGTTACTCTAAATTGTGCGGGTTCTTCTTTAGTGTGTTATTTCTTCTACCATTGGCAGAGGATCTGTGATGAGAACTGACATTTTGAAGCAGCTGGCAAACTAGAAAAACATAGGCAGCCTGTCCCAGCAGCCACTGCTCTCTGCCCTGTAGCAGTGAAAGGCGTCTTTCAGGACGTTGCTCTTTTTAATAGCAGGGAAAAGGGCAAGCCCTACTTACCAACTTCCTTCATATATAATTCTTTCCTTTCTTGCATAGGCAGAGGTAAGCTACTACTGCCAGCGAGCTGGCAGATACCACAAACCTGGATCTATCCCCTGCAATTGTTGAAGAACCCTGTAAAAAACATTTATACAAATACATGTATTTCTGTAGAACAGCTGTAAATTTTAGTACATGGTGGCTTAAACTACAGTGGTGCCTTACTTTACAGCATGGTCCATGCTGATACAGCTGACACTGAAATTGATTCGAACTCGCTTACACTGCAGCACAATTTCCTCAAGTAACAGACTGTTTTAAAAATGGCATTTACTTTGTATCAAAGTTGTTAGCAAAAAAGCCAGAGTATTTTCCATAGAAAGATGCAGTAAATGTAACCGGACATTGTGTTTTTATGCACACCTTACAATCTACTGAACATATAATTGGATGACAGGACTTTTAAGCCAGCTAAATTGTACGTGCCCAGTGTTAAGATTTTTAACGGATCGTGAGAAATACCTTTCATTTGCACAACTGTGCAGTCAGCACTCTCATGCTAATTATGCCTCACATACATGTTTTCTCATAGTGTAACAAGCTCCTTTAAAACTGCTCCATCCTGAAGGCTAAACCAGCTAAAGGTACCAGGTAAATTCCTAAGACTAGCTTTATAGCTTACACATTAAAAAAAAAAAAAAAAAAAAAATTCAAACCACTTTTCACTAATGTCAGCAGTTCATAGGGCTGAAGCAAGAATAAGGTCACACAGGTATTCTAACTGCTGCTGGTTTTATCAGTTACATTTATTAAAATATGGCACTCTCTCAGTACCCAGTTCTGCCCTGCTACTCAAACTGACGTTGTGAGCCCAGTGTTACCCAAACTGACAGATTTCTTTTGGATCACATGCAGAATTTAGTCTTTATACTAAAACAACTCTTAGCATCGTTCTCCTACCTTCAGGTTAGGCTTGCCCTTCAGTCTTGAAAGCCAGCGCTTTTAGGGAACCACAGCTATATCCAAGCAGCAATTTTCAGGCTTTCCCAAACAGGGAAAGTTTTCCCTCCCCTAAGTTTTCCACTGAAAATGCAGATTGCTGTATTGGGAACATAAGCCCACTAACAACAGATCGCCTTTCTTACTTAACTTTTATAGTCCTTTGGTTGTGGTGTACAAACACACTAGGTTCCACTGAGCCAAGTTACAAACCACTGACTAGAACACCTGTGATCAAGAGTAACAGAAGCGTGGTGTTTACATTGTTGTAATTGGAACAACAACAAAATTCAAGCATTTACTTATTTGCTATTACTTTACATACACTTTCATAGTTAGCTACTATACAAATAAAGGAATGTTTCTCTTCCTTTCCAGAAGGGAGATTAACTATGTTGCTTCCAAAAGAATACAAGGAAGATAATTCAGAAGCATACTCTGCTGTTGCTGTTGATGAAGGCAGACTTGAGCCAAGATCAGATGATGAAGACACGTAAGTCAAGCACATCAGAAGAAAAATCCATACAACTGAACAGTTTTGATGAAATGACAGGTTGCATTGCCCAAAGCTTTTCTTCTGTTCTTTTAAATTCATGAGGAAAACTCGCTTGTTTTACAGAGTCTGCTAATTTAACTTTTAATTCTGTAATTTAGTATGTCAACACTGCCATTAAAAATGTTATGCAGAAGTATTAACATGGCTTTATAACTCCTGTTCTCTTACCTTATAAATACAGGTAAACAATCTCACAGAGAAAGAAGAAACAGCTCACATTATGTGTGTAGCTTGTATATTTTAAAAGTAATTTAAAAAAAAGTCTCAAAGGCCTTGAAAAGAGAAAGGCTTGTAACAAAGATAGATTTAATCAATGTAATTATCTTGTTTTACTTTACAGAAATTTTGAAGATTCTGAAGATGAACTAAGACATGAGCTGGAAGAATCTCTGGAAAAAGCGGCAGCTTCTCCAGCAGAGAGAACCGTGAAGTCTCCCATCCTTTCAATAAATAAAGGTCAAACAGATGAAGAAAAGATAAGTTTACCTCACAAACTACTTGGAAAATCTGATGATTTAGAAACTAACCATGGGTCATTTAGTGTTGACACACATAATGAAAAAGTCAAACAGGAAGCAAGAGCTACCTAGAACACGAGCACAGTTACTGTTTCAAAACTTTAACTCGCTTGAAATTTCAGCCACATCAGTAACAAAATTTAAGGATAGCTGACATTGAATGCCAAGTAAATCGACTGCTTTTCAACAGTGCTAAACACTCAGTTAAAATGAATAGAAGGTTGTTGCTGTTTTGTTTAAAAGGAAAAAAATCAGGCTGCTTTTCAGATGTCTGAATGTTGAAAAATCCTGATCCAGAGTGAAATGCACTTTCATTGTTATTATTCTAAACTACCTGGGACATCTCTGACACCACTTGCTTGAGCAAATTTCTGATAGCATCCTCTCTCTCTTTAACCATTTCTGTATCATGTAAGAAAGTCAGCTGGTCAGTATATTGTATTTCCCTAGCTCAATCAGCTCCTTGTTTTAAGAAGCTCTTACAGCTTTTCATAATCTCTGTACTGCCAATACAGCTTTATAATCCATAGTTTCATTTACAGTCCTGACTCTACATAGTATCACCAACTGCTCTGCAGTTTTATATAGTAGCAGTAAAAGGGTTTATTAGCAGCATGAGAACTGTGCATTCCCCAATTCCTAATAAAACATGGAACGGTAGGTTCTTCCAACCATATTTTTTCATGTACAAAATTTCATATAATCCAGGTGAAGCTTAAATAGAAGGAAAACCACATTCTAAAGTCTGATTTCAGTAGCTTTTTGCATTTCTCTTAGTTTTCTAAAATACAAAATATTGCTTTGATGGCTCAAAAAAAGACTATGTTTTTCCGTTTTTGATACAAAAGCAGATGTCCAATTTTTGAACATTTTGTTCACTGTGTTCTCAGTTTTATAATAAGCAGTAGTTTAGGGCTTTAACATTCATGTTTGTATAGCATTTAATTATGCCCTGTAATCTAGACCCTTGTATTCCCTAGGAACAGAAAAACCTTGCAATAGAATAGGGTTGGAAAAATACCATTAAGTTGTCATACTGTGAAAGGGCATGAGGAAATAGCTAATATAAGGACCATAGACAAGTGCAATTATTACACTTACTGAAAAGCAAGCTAGCAAAACCATCATATGATTAACCTAAAGGAATCACTGTAGGTAATGAAATCTCCAGAACCATAATTAAAATCCCACATAATAGAATTTTGCCACGCAATGGGGGACAGCAAATTGGAAATGTGCTACAGATTCTGGGAAAAAACCTTCTGGATACAAAAGCTATCAAACAACAGTGTCGACTTTAAAAAGTGTGACTGCAGGTGAAGAGTCACAAAATGGGTGGAGACTGAAAGTAAAGTATTCAATAAATAAAAGAACTTCTAGATGTAGTTCTGTTACCAAGGAAATATGATGGTTCTGTGAATCCAGAGCGTTTTGCAGTGCACCGTACTGTCATGTATTCAACACAGATAATTTTCAGGAGCGTTTCTTTCCCAGTAAAAAAAAATCTCTATTACATAAAGCAGATACCCTGACAAAAAGAAAAAAATATCTCTTTATTAGATAGGACCAAGGGCTCATAGATTGCATATATTTACAGGTGACACAGTCAAATAGAAAAAGTTAATTTTATTCATATACATTTTTATTAATATACATTTATTTAAATAATGGCTCCACAGATAACAGGAATGTCTCTTCAAAATGCTGGTCAGAAAACCTGTGCACAGACCGACGAGCGTTTTCTCTGATCTCTAACCTTTTTTCAGGGGACAAAGAGAGGATATAAGCCATCGTCTCAGCATAATTGTCCTCGTTTTCTGCTAGGAAGCCTGTAATCTGTCCTTCATAGGGTACCACAATATCTAATTTGGGGCCTCCAGAATTGTGAGCCAGGATAACTGTGCCAGCTGCCATACATTCCACTACTCCTGTAAAAGACACAAAACATGCTGATAGGAATGTGTACATCACGTACTTTGGCTTTCCGTAAGGCACTGGAAAGTTAAAAACACAGTAAAATTCACCCAGAATTACAAGTTACTATAGACTGCCGTTCTAGATCAGTTTGAAAAATACAGAGTCTCATGAGATAAACAAATTTAAGTTTTTCAGTTCTAAGGACTGAAATGATAGTTTCTCTTAAACACATAAAATTGAAATTAGAAATCAGATATAAGTGGTTAAGTTGTGGTTCTTGTAACATATTTGATTTACCTGAGGGAGATTATATCGCCAGTAAATATGTTGAAAAAAAAGCTAGATATTGAAAGAAATGTAAAGATAAACATGGAAAGTAGCTCTGTGACAGAACGCTGCATAGTTCTGTTCTGCTCTGTAACAGAACACTGTTCTGTTCTGCTCTGTGACAGAACACTGCAACACTGCTTTTATGGTATGGTGGCAGCTGCAAAAAATAATTAAAAATTAGAGTTGAACATAATTGTATTCATTTTCTCATTCACACTGAAGATTTTTAACATTTAGAAAGATACTGAGAGAAAAGCTGTCTATGCACATTCAATCTGATATTCAGAGGTTCAGTATTTTGCAGAATAACAAATCTTTCTAGCTTTTGACAATTCAGCAAGACAAACTAGTAAAAATTGTTATCGCTGCATCTGTATTTTTGACGGAAGAAATTTTAATGAAATGGGAATCTGATATTAAGCTTTCCTCAGCCAAATGCAGTGGCATAGGAATATAGAATGTATACATCAACCTCAACTCTCCTCCATGATTCCTGAACAGACCTCAGAAATCACTTCAATTGCTGATTCTTCTCAGTTCTGATTTGATTTTTACAAAGTTCCCCTAGTTCAAAAATTGCCAACTATAAATAATGCTCCAAAGTTTTGGAACGTCTTTTACAGGTAAAAAGCCACTGGAGATGAAATCATACTGAAGTTCAAAATCACAGTGTGATTGTATCACTTTTTTACAATAATTTTTTATTTACTTAAACTGTTTTATGGGGGAAAAAATAGGGGAAACCATTATTTCCATTTTGTGGCAGTTGCTTCTGAGAGACACTTCAGAATAAATTTTTTTTATACCAAGTTCCCACAGACTATAAACTAGTACTCCTGATACTTACTTAACTTGTATTCTAATAATGCCTGATGACATTAACTGCAGTTTAGTCACATTATAGGCACGTACAGCATCCATCTGCTTGGCTGCTAACTTACTCTGTTGTAGATTTAGGGCACATGGGAATCTTAGATTCCCTTTCAAAGTCAGGACTCAACTAATCCCAATAAACTGAGCCCAACACCTTAATTCTGTATGATAGCACATTGCAAACCAGGTCCCAGCTCCTCTTTGGCATTCTGCTCCACACTATGGCGACTGATTTAAGGACTTGATTGCCTTAGCACAAGTACCTAGCGCAATGAGATGACCAAGGGCACCTGGGGCATCCACATGGGGCTTACAAATAAGACACAGGATCTGCGGGAGACTCACACCTCTGAAACAGCAGCTAGAGCCCTGTGACACAGAGGAGCCATTTCAAACGGCAGCTGAGGCAGGTTAAACATGCTCAAAATCTCTGTACATGGATGTCTACACGTGAACTGTGTCTAAGCTCCCCCTGCAGTCAGCGGAGCCAACAGGGCACAATCTAAGGTGCTCAAACAGAAGTACCTGGTGCCTTTTGAGGCTCCATTGGGTATGGAAGGCATCTGCGTGAGGCTGGCAAACCTAACTCAGGACCTTAGGGTGACCCTGAAGAGCGACAACTGGAGGTCAGGCAGAACATCCTGGGCGGCGCAGATGGGACGAGCTGCCTCTTCAGGTGACTAGAAGATGCCCACAATTAATAGTCTACGATGTCTACAGCGCTTCAGCTTGCACTACAGTAGTACCTAGTGGTTAGCCATCTGAATTGGTCCTGTAGGCTCTACCTCAGCTAGATCACCTCTGACGAGAACGGGAGTTGGACACCTGCTTGGCATGCAGACCTCTGTGCTTAGACACCAACACCGAGGAGCCTTAATCGTGAACCGAAGCCCTCCCCAACCGTGTCCCCAGCTGGAACAAATGGCTGAACACTGAGGAAAGATACTGACCAATCCCGAAGTGCTCGTTCCACATCGTATGGAGGCCGATGGTGGCCTCGGACAGGTGTCTCTTCAGCTCCTCAAAGGGAATGTTTATTCTGAACGTGACGTCCTTACTTACTCCCAGCTCTTCACAAAGACGTTTAAGGTTATTTACACGCTCTTCATCTTGCTGATTACGACAGCCTCCAATTAAGATAAGCTTCAACGATGGCTGCTGCCCCAGTCTCTTCTCTTTCAGCAATTGAGCAAAAGCTCTGATTTGCAAAGGATGATCTTTTTCAGGCCTGAACTGGCTGACGGAAACAATGGAATATTCCGAGGTGCTCTTTTCCTCTTCCAGTGGAATATCCAGGAAGGTCTGAACATCACACGGTGGATATACAACGCTAGTGCAAGCCCCAGCTCTCCAGAGGGAAAGGATGTGATTTAGCGTCCAAGAAGAATTAACCATAATCACATCACTGCAGGAACCAACCAATCCGTACATGAAAGCAAAGAAGTAGTAGTAGACAAGTTTAAATTTGCTCAAAAGAGGATTGTTTGTAATGAAGGCTGCATTGTTAAACCTGGTATCCTGATTCCTAACGACAGAAAGCATATCGGTGCTGATAGTGGGATAATGGACGTAACATCCAACGCGACAGCCTCCTAAATATTTAAAGAGGGGAAGCGTGAAGGCATAACCCATTGAGTCAATATAAATATCAGGAACACACTTTAGAAGAGCTTCCCAGCCAAGAAACACTGATCCTAAACTTTGTCCCAGCAAAGTGAAGTGAGGGTAAAGAGAAGCTTTCACAAGGTAGCGTTTTTCTAGAAATACAAACTTCACAGGATGAGTTAATTTAATATTGAATCTTCTGAAAGCACCTTCTACTATTTCTTCTCCAGTGGCATCTCTATCACCAGTGTAAACAACGCACATTACATTTCTGTACCTGCAAGAGTAAAGAAAAAGAATTTCACACATTCTTCTCTTGAAATTTTGTAACACAAAACTAAAATATT